CGCAGGAAACATCCGAGACCGTGTCCGAAATTTCCCTGAGTGGATGTTCCTGACCAAATGGAATTATGGGGATGCAGGCGATGCGGGTTAATAGGAATACGTATCGGGAGCGCGAAGCTTCAAAGCCTGCTGTTAGATCTAGCACTTGCCATGCGTGCAGATATTCGTCCGATAATTGTGTAAAACGCGAGTGAGTGAGAAGATTAATCTTTATTTATTTATTTTTATAAATGTTTGTTTGGACAATTATGAAATAGAACGTTTGTGTGAAAATATGAAAGAAAATCAGTTTTTTATATATTTTATTATTATTATTATTTTTTTTTTTTTTTGTATTTTGATGTCGAAATTTCTTCAGTCGAAATTGTTGCTCCGGAATCGCAATGATTTCAATAAGATATTTCTATTGAAAACTCTCTGTTTTCTTCGTTCCGATTATCACGTAAAAAAAACGTATTGCTCTCCAGACCGATGTGTACATTCGTTAGGAAACAGTCGGTTCGATATTGCTTTGTTTAGTAGCATTGATTGCGGTTTTCCTCTCGTAGTTCATAGCGGTCTAACACTAATGATGAGCAGCCATCGGTTTTACGTTAATGGCCGTTGCTACTAAACGTCTAAAGTGCATACGCCGATTATCAGGTTATTAGCTAATTTAAACATGAAACGATCGATAGTTACGCGCGTACACACGCGTTTATGTAATATTGCGTTAAGAAAATAGTTTAGGAAGTAATTTGATTATGCGCGGCAATGAAAAGTATATTGGCAATTGTATATATTTATATAAAAGGTTATAAAATACTGTATAAAGCACAATATACGTTCTAGTATATTAAAAGTGAATGTGAATAAGGTCGGAAATATAAACTTGAGCATAGCTGCAGGCGGGCTTTCTCAGATTACTTGGAGAAACGTGATCGAGCCAATAATTAACTTGTCTCGAGAAAGTTAAAACAACTGACGTAATTAATGTAGGAAATACTATATAAAACCTTCGCCTTGTTATACACCTAGAAAGCACTATGTACTTAAGAATGTGATTAAGAACGTAATGAGACAGAAAACAACTTGACGATCGCGAGTTAATTATTTTGCTTTTTTTCTTTTGTCACTCTAGAAAAATTACGCTTGATTAAACGAGAAAACCCCGATCTCGTATTTAACGATCAAATAGCGTGTTATACAAACATAAAACTCTTTTCACCTTAAACGTTGATTTATTCGCAAAATACGCGATTATCCGGAAGAACTTTGACATAGCGAATATTTGACTGCTCGATCCGAGAGTTTGCAAAATCACGTACGTGTGTATGATGGAACATCGCGAAATTGAGTTGATAGACGAATATTTATTGTATCTTAAACGCGGTTCCCCACTAATCTCTCTTGCATATTTTACACGTCGAATTCGTGCGATATCATTCTTGAATTGAAAATGCGGAGGAATGAGATTCGAATTACAGCGCCATAATGGCCGTATCCTGTCCGCTGCGAAATATAGACCGTCTGTAAGTTAATTTCGAAGCGAAATCTCTCGTACAATTATAGAACGTGGGAGAACAGATTCTGTAGAGTTCAAAGTGCGCGCCAAGGGGCAACACCGTGCATTTGCGTTCGCGCGCCAACTGTGCACGTACACGACTCGAGACCAAATTTCAGTCGGCAACGCCGGCGGATATGGCGGTGCAGCTGGGTCACAAAGTGACTATTTCCTTCGACGTTATTCGAGATTTCAGTTTCTCAGTGTTGGTAGTGGATGAAGTGGATGCGCGCACACATGTACATTATGTCCCGGTAGATAGTTACGTATGTACATATGCAGAGAAATTTCCACTATGTAATTCGGCGATGAAGTCAGCGAAAGATTTCGGTATTATGTTGGATTAGAGAATCTCCGGGGAATTTTGAGTATCCCTCTCTCTCTCTCTCTTTCTCTCTTTCTCTCTTTCTTCAGTCACGACATTGGCTTGCTAAATTGGCTCGCGTTACAGTCCGCGTTCCGATAAAACCGGGCACTCGTACCCGCGGACGGACACGCGCGGACAGATCGACCCCGTTCGGTTTGCCGCGCTTTCGCATCGCCGCAACTTATTCCGCGTCGCAAAGCAACCTGTTGATGTTCCGCGCGCGGTTAAAATCGCATCATTCACGGCAACAACACAACGCAACGGCTTGATAAAGAATCAAGTCCGATGGCGCAAAAAACGCGCGGCTGTATCTGTATCGGCTATTACTATCAACGATCTCGGATTACGTTCGCGGACTTGTTACTTTGACAGATGATGTCGACTCACGTGTCTGAAAAGTTTATTGGAGACGGGGGAGGGAGAAAAGCACTCTGCGAGAGAGAGAGAATATTATCACTGGATTGACACAATGGGATGTGGTATCGCATGTAGGTCTCTGGCCCGACGGTGATAACTCAGGATCTATCGACGCAGAACGTAAGCTCTTGCATATCGTTGATGCATATGCAGACGCGAAAGTGATGGAACAGAGCGCGCAAATGCTAATGTTACGAAAGCTATGCAAAACAAAACGATTTGATTAACATGAACAGATTAATTTCTGTGATTTGCGAATTATTGGTATCACAACCAGAGAGAACCAGGAGATCATAATTAATTACAATGATCTCCTCGCGCTAATATTCCCATTATCGCTCATTGTTGACAAATGCGCGATGCTACTCGATCTCGCAACGGCGTTTAAATTCACCTTTGATTATTCGCATAATAATAAATGACGGAGATGATGCCGATTTTGTTTTTCTGATCTCATTCCGTGCTCACCTCTACGAAATATTTACGCAATTTTGCTTCGTTTCCAATTTTATCGCATATTTATAAACCTTGATGCTAAATCCGATTCCATAACGTTACGTCTACTTTATGAGACTTTTCGCATTGCATATGTTCAATTACATATTTTGTAGTTAACCACGATGTCGGGCAACACGCCAGAACGTATGTACACACAAGCTGCTTTCTGTTCTTGTCAACAGCTCATATATATTTTACGCCTACTTGTGCAGTATTTTCGCAGTACTTTGTCAAATTATATATTTTTTTTTTATGTAAATAAGATAGCGCGTGCGCGCGAAATGCAATCTCACAATCGACTGTATTTACGTGGAAGCTTTGTTTAACGACCTTGGGGCTTCGGAAATCGAACTGCCTTCTTTATTTTTGTCTCTGTTGTTTCTTTTACATTTTATCACACACACACACACACACACACAACAAGCGCGAGGAAAAAAAACGAGACTAAGCAACAAAGGATTAATCGTGGTGGTGGTTCTTGGAAATTTTCGAGCTTAAAAACATCCGCTATAATCGTCTTGGTGATATAATTTGCATTTTATATTTACTGAAACAGAAAGCTGGAAGATAGACTTTTTGATAAGCACGTAGTCAGAATATTTTATTGGCATTCAATTAAAAAGGTTGGCGTTCTGAGAATCTAATATTGTTTGTAATCTTGCGAGATGAGTATTCGATAAATAACGAAAAAATCGAAAAGAGACTTGTAACACCAAATACTTTGATATCTTCTTAGGTACATTGGAACTCCGGTAATTTCGAGCATTACAATTTCGACTTCTCCGTTGGGCGGGCCAATAAGTTCCTCTACTATATTGATGATTTCTCTGTATTCTTGAATAACTGCGCAATTTGTAGAATGCGCGAATCTACTCCCCGCTCTAAGAGAAAGAGAAACATATGTCTTTCTCGGTCTCTCGCTACTATTCGGTTGCCAACTGGAAGAGGAAGAAAATAATTTCGAATTCTAGGGAGAATCACAGTTCCACGCGCTCGAAATTACTGCAGTTCTATTGTACACAGCTTGATGATCCGAGCTGGAATTATTCGTAGTAATTAATTCAGAAATCGTTTGGATGATGAGAGCGTCGAAAAGATCGGTGTTCACCGTCGTTGTCAGTTTTACAACGTGGAAACGTTAGAAATTCGAATGTTACTACAATATTGATCATAAATATCTCGTGTGCGGATTATATTGTCTGTCAAAATTTTCAAACGTACCATGTGCACATTGCATATAATAGAAATGATATGAACGTCTCTTAACAGAATCGCAAATCGATCGTGTTATATTTTACACGTGGAACTCTTCAATAAGTTTTTCTTTCGCGAAAAAAAATCCACACAATTCATTTTGTCACGCGAATTTAATATTAAAAATCTCTCGTGAATCTTTCGATACGATTTTGGAGAAACAGTTAGACCAGAACGGGGGTTCTAACAGTTTCTAAAAATATAAAATTCTAATATATAATGTTGAAAATATAAAATAGGAATAAAAAAAAAAAAAAAAAAAGAAAATATGATAAGAGATTACACGTGGCAGAGCGAGATTTTCAACGCAGCAACAGATCGTCGAAAGTGCTACGCACAAAGCGCTTTTCTGTGCGGGAACAAAATGTGTAGTACGTATCTATTAAGCTCTTCTCCAATATCGATCGGGACCATTATTGCTCCCGAGAGATACGATAACGTAAAATATTCTTAGAACAGTTTAGAACAGATTGCGCACAAGTGCGCGATCTGCGTCTTTATATATTCTTTCATAAAGTAAATACGTTGGTACGCAATACGTTGGTTCGTTTCCAACGCCATTTTCAGAATTTATCAACCTAAAAAGTCGCCCACGCCAAGCTGTAGCAGGACGGGGTGGCGCTCCCGCAGGAGTGTCACAACGGCAGGTGCTCAACACCACGTGATCGCAACTGCTGCCGCGACGGCGCAGGCGAAGATGCAGGCCGAGCAGGGCAGCATCGGCGAGCTACGGGGCTACCACAATCTGCGATCCCGCAGGCACACCTTAGCCAACGTACGGTGAGTGTTAATTGGAACTGATTCATTGAGATAAGCTAGATAGGATTACAAATTTCGCATAAATAAGTAGCGCGGAATTGAAATTTAAATACAAATACAAGTCGAATTTATAAATACAAATTTTTAATAAACGACTGAGATTTCACGCGATGTATTTTATGACACACAAATTCCAAACAATTATAATGATTGATTAACCGACAAGTGATACGCGCGGTTCACTCCGCGCAATAACAATTTCCTTTTCTCGTCGGACCTACACCGGTTTTACCGGTTTTGAAACAAATGCAACTCGAGGATAACGGTTTTATATCCGACTTATCGGTGTCTTCTAAAGTCACGGGCAAATCACTTTTACTTTTCTGTTTCACGGAATCGGTCTTTCGTTTAGATATTTTCGCTAAACAACTCTGATCTCTTTTTTCGACTATTCTTTTCTTTCGGGAGATTACTTTAATGATCTGTTCGATATTACGCTTCTTCTCGCTCATTTTGCTCAGAAGTTTGGCTTTGCAATCGGGACACATTCCGTCGTACGATATAACCGAATCGATTCTGGGGGAAGTTCGTTTCAACGCAGCTGCCGTCGGAGATTTCGTGATTTTCGTATCAATCTGCGGAATCTGCAGTTCGGGTTTTATTGACGACGACATCGAGGACGGAGTTTTGCCGCACAAGCAACAGTTGCAGAGATGTTGCCTGACCATTTCGTCGGACTTGCCATAATTAATCGTTCTAATCTCACGTTCTGTGTCCAGCCGCGTTCGTTGAGCGGCGATTTTCAGAGCTCGCAAAAGTTCACTCGTGGGCACTCTCGCGCGTTCTCTTTCATCCCTTACGGCTCGCTCGTGGCTAACGTGGCTTGTTTCAACCGTCTGTGACCCGGTGCTGGCGGTCGTGACGGTCGATTGGTCCTTCAAGCGTTTGTGCTCGAGCATTTTTCGGCCAGTTATTTCAGGACGGCCGCCGACAATTTCGGCGCTCGACTCGACGACGGTTTCGAGCTCGGACGATTTTAAATACTCTACGCTGATAATTCGCGTCGGCGGCGCTATTTCGACGATCTGCGAAACTGTTTGCGTGGATATTTGTACGAGTTCGCTTTGCACGATCTCGGTTTGAGCGACTTCGGTTTGCACGATCTCAGTTTGCGTGATCTCTGTTTGCGCGATCTCGGCAACCTGTTTGACCTCAGTTTGAACGACTTCGGTTCGCGTAATCGCGACTGGCTCCGCGGTGGTCTCGACCGGTGGTCGCTACAAGTGAAAATAAACATATATTCAAAATGTTGGCTAGCCGCCGGCTACCAATACACGCGATACTTCTGGAAAGAAAACAACTTGCGCGTGAACTTGGGATATTCTATATGATAGGATTATGTTGAATAAATAAATAAATAAATACACACACATATGATGAAAGAGATATTTTATCTTATTATTCTTCTGAGATGCGTATCGCGCGTATTGTAGTGGAATTTTGATTGAAAAAAATTGAAAGAGATGCGACGATGCTATATTACTGACCGAACAACATGCCATACATTGCGGTGTCGTTACGGGTAGAATTTGTATTACTTCTTTTTCTTGTATTTTCGCTATAATAAAATACTGCTGCGGCGCTACCCGAAGATCGATTTGTAACGCTGGCATTCCTTCTTCCATCGGTTTTGTCTCGGTAGTCGGTGTTATCTTTTCCGCTTCGACGATTTCTGATTTTTCCTGTATTGTTATTGGTATTGTTTCTTTTTTAACTTCCACCAATGATCTCGTGGGCGGAATAACTTTCGGTACTTCCTCTTTCTTCGCCGTTCTTTCCTCCTCTTTTTCTTTTTCAGTTAATTCAGTAAGCGGAATAAGTTCTTCTGGTATTTCCTCCATTTTTTTATCTTCTTCTCGTTTCGCTTCGAGCACGGGTTTTTCCATTGCTTCGATTTCTTGCACTTCTGTCTTTATTACTGGCGGTGGTTCTGTTACTGGTTGAATCACTTCGATTTTTTCCATTACTTTATCTTCTTCGGGTAATTCGATAGGAGAAATAAGTTCTTTTGTTATTACTTCTATTTTTTCGTCTTCTCGTTTAACGTGTTCAATCGCGGGTTTTTCCATCGCTTCGATCTCTTGATCTTCGTCTTTTATTATTGGCAATGATTCCGTCACTGGTTGAATCATTTCAAGTTTTTCTATTATTGTCTCTTCTTCGGGTAATTCGACAATAAATTCTTTCGGCGTTTCTTTTATTTTTTCGTTCTCTTCTTTTTCTTCGGGTTTTACTTCAGCAAGCACTGGCTGTTCTATATCTTGCTCCTCATTCTTTATTATTGACAGAGGAGGAGGTTCTGTCGCTGGTTGAATTATTTCAGTCTTGTCTGTTACTTCGTTCACAGTTGGAAATGGTTCTTCTTCCAGTTTAATTTCGTCTTTCGGTGGTGGTTCTGCAATTTCAATTTTTTCTTGTATTACATCCGACGGTACCGGTTCTTCGATTTTGACTTTTTCTGTCGCTATTGCTTCCGGAATCGAAATTTGTTCGATTTCAATTTTTTTTTCTTCTATTTCTTTCACAATTTGCGAAGATTCTTCAACTTTAATTTGTTTTTCTGCCACATCGACGGTCAATAATTTTTCGGTGTCAACAGAAAGTTTGCCAGGCTCGAATTTTTCTATCTCGGTTTCTTTTTCTAACTCGGCAGCCGGTGACACTGTCTCTGGCACAATTTCTTTCACCTCTTTGAAATCATCCATGATTGGCATCGTTTCCTTTATATCAGCGCGTTCTATTTCTTTTATCTCCACAACAGGTGGAGCTTCTGCAATTTCTTTCGTTTTTATGATTTCCACGCGTGATGTCGCATCTTCTATGGTTTTAACTTTATTTAGTTGCGGGGTTTCCTTCAATTTTTCTATTTCATTTTTACTTTCTGCAAGTTTACTTTCATCGGTTTCTTTTGACACTTCGTCTGTTATTGCTTCTTTTGATACGTCTGCCACCTCGTTTGGCGCTTTTACTTCCGCTGATTTCAGAGGAGAGACGATATCGATTGATTGTTTATCACAAATTCTATTTTTTTTTTTTTTTTTGTACTATTTAGAACAAGTTAATCGTTATGTAACTCACTTGAATCGATTATTTCTTTAGCGACTACACTTTTCGCTTCTTCCGCAGTCACTTTTGTTGTTTCCATTATTTCTGTTTCAACAATTGGAGGTTTGATATATATTTTTTCTTGTACTTCGGTAATGACATCATTTGTAGATTTTGTTGCGATTTCCGACACAAACTTGATCTCGTTTTTCTCTTCAAACTTTTCTTCTGTTTCGATTTCAGGTTTTACTTTTATTTCGTTTATCGTATCTCTGTCTTCCTTTTCTATTGTAATTGTTGTCACGTCTTTCTCGTCTATTTCTTTAGGTTTTATCTGATATAAAACATAAATGTGATATAGCTCGTATTTTTATTTATTCATAGCATCGTTACGTATTATAATCGACTCGTGAATAATATTTCGCACTGTAACATATGATTTACGCGAGATCACGATATTTTATTAATTTCTTACCCCAATGTACACGCCAATCTGTTCGGCTAAGGTATCAGCATCTTGTTTCGCTGCGTGACAGTTAGGGTGTTTCTACAAAATGTGCGAAACAAAAATTTATTATTAATATTAATATTAAAACAAGGAAATATTGCATTTATTGGACACTTTATTATGTATTATATATTTATCACGCACGCATCTATACTTTTTACGCAACAACAAATTATTGTATCGTTAATATCGCATTATTAAAGTATATTAATTGTTGAATGTTTTAAAATGTATAATTGCAATATTCCCTTCGATGTCGATTGTACACGATTTGTATACCGCTGTTTTTGTGCGAATCGTATCGATCGTGTCGATCCATGATAGAATTGTATCTCGTTGTATTACGATGTCTTGTTCGATCTTTTTAACTTCCGGTTTAACGTCATCCGGCATTGTTATCGAACTATCGTCCGTAACTTTTTCTGAAATCGCCGGACGCGTTACAATTTCTCTAACAGGCGTTTCAACAGCTGTTAGTTCTACAGCTTTCTCGACAAATTCTTGCTTGGTTTCGACATCGAGAATTTCATTCGTTTTCTCTTCTTTCTTTTTAATATCGTCAACGACATGATTCGCTTTTTTCGCAAATTCTTCTCGAAATTGTCTCTCTCGTTCCTCGTCAGTCGGAATTTTCTTATCAATTTTTTTGATCGGTGCGGCAGGATCCAAACCTAACGCAATCAGTTCTTCGTCTGTCATGCCGGTAGGCGATTTTACCACGTCATTGCAGACGAAATCGGGCGGACAAGGTTCACCTTCTTTGTAAAGTTCCTCTAACGAGCTCAACTGGGCTAAATATTCTCGAACTTCTTTGAGTTTTTGCTGCTCGTAAGGAAGATCCTCCGGCCGAACTGCGATTTCCTCGTCTTTGATTTCCACGAGATCCGCCGGATGATCGACAGCGAGATCAATTACATCAGGTTTAACCGTAATGTCCTTATCGTCCCTGACAAAAGTCACTTCCGCTTCGGCGTCGACTACGATGGGTCGCGCAAACATCTCCTTGTCCGCGACTTCGGCTCTTACCAAAACTTCGTCGTCCTTCACCGTTGCTACGTCGTCCACTCTACCTATTGGTCGATGCACGACCCTAGTTCTCACCACAACTTCCTTATCTGTCACTTCCGCAACGTCATCGTCGCGACCTATTGTAGCCTCGATTTTCTCAATACTCAGAAACTTCTCCAATTGCGTCCTACATTCGGCCATTTTCTTGCGACACTTCTCAAGCGCGTCCTCCAACTCGCACACGCGATCCGCCATCTGTTGATTAGCCGCGGTTTTCATATCCAACTGTTCCTTCAACGCTTTCGTCGTAGTAACCGCTTCGTCTTCCATTTTCGACCAGAACTCATCCGTATCCTGAAGCGTTCTCATGTAAGCTTCCTCGCGACGTTCTAACTCGGCAATATCTCGCTTTATGATAACTTCCTCTTCCGCTAATTGTTCTATCTTCTCCAAACACTGAATATCGCCAGACTCGATAGACGTTACGCTCGATAAGCGTAACGTCTTATCCAGCCATCTTTGCCTGCACTTCATGTCACCGCACTCGCCGTATTGACACGATCCATTTTGCTGCGCATCCACGTCCCGTTTTTCCATTTCCTCCCGTAACATCTTCGCCTCTTTGCTCAAACGTTCTATCGCGTTCTTCTGCTCCTCCTGAATCCTCTTTGCTTCCTCGAGTTTTCGTCTCTTCTCTTCCAACTTGACGAGCTTCTCCGACCAAAGATTTCGCGCTTCCTCCACTTTATTCAACGCCAGTTTCCTCTCAGCCTCGGCATCTCGTATCCTGGAATCGTAATGGCGGCTCGGTGTGCTACGACAAGAAAGTTCTCTCGCATCTTTAAATTGCTTCTCTAGGATACGTTTTATTCTGCAGACCGGCGCGCCCTCCGACATCTTCCAGATATTCCACATCATTACTGCCGGCATCGAACATTCAAGCATGTCTAGCCGCTGTCGCAGATCTCCTTCCATTTTTTTCAATTCCTCTCGGCGTTGCTCCCGTTTGCCGATTATGTCACAGACTGGACGTGGCAGACGTGTGTCTGTCGTCGCCGCGTTGTTGATTTTTCCTGGAATTTTAATCTCGCGTTTTGATCCATCGGAGAGAACTTGATTCGGAAGCGAGGGCATTTTCCCAGGTTGATCAACAACAACCGTCTCCGCGACCGCGCGTTCTTTAAGGTTTTGAATCGATTTATTTTTTTTCTCATTGCATTCCTTGGAAAAAGAGTCTGACGTTTTTAATATTACATTGCTTCTCTTTGCTGTTTCGCTTAAAAAATAAGTTTTTCTCTTTGTTGTGGATCTGTCGTTTTTTTTCGACGTATCTTTGATTGTGAAATTCTTTAATTCAACGGGAGAGCGATGTTCTGTTTTTGTTGCATTCTCTTGTTGGTCAGCGTTGGTACGCTTTGACAAATTCTCTTTACTCAGAATACTTTCGTTCTCCATACAGTTTATCGTTTTTGATTGTCTAACTAGAAATTTTGAATAAAATCTTCGAAACTTGAACGAGCAGAATGAATTTTATTTGTTTGCTAAAGGTTAACTCTCTCTCGCTTGTCATTAATTTTTAATACCAACCTACTAGCGCAACGAAATTTTACCGTGCAAGCACATAATAAATTTAAACATATATATATATAATTTTGGAACAAATCTCGTGTTAAAACTGTTATTTTAACAATTTTGCACGAAGTGATTGTGAAATAATTTTTTTTTTTATTTCCATTTGATTTTTTTCCCCATTTTTGCTTGAAAATCATCATGTGTAAAAATACGATTATTATTCACGCTAACGGATTTATTGCGATTTCTAACGCGTTTACCTGGCCAATTACTCGCTGTTGCGTCGTAGTGCGCGTACATTATCTTCGTGTAATCATTAAATCATGTCTCGCAATTTGATTTACGGGATACGCCTAGCAGTCGTCGCTCGTCGTTGCGCGAACGCGCGCATTAACATTTTCGTCGAGAACACACCATCAATTTTGGATAGGGTCCAACACTGGCAGATTCTGTCATTAGATTGCCGCAAATCATTCATGAGATTTGTCATAGCATGCGATTATAGCTTTCGATATCTCTTCGTTAATAAATTTCAATCCTCGATATGAACATATCTGTTCATTAGCTATTTCGGTTCGGGCATTCGAGATATTGGTTATGTGAGAGATCGCTTTATTTCGCCCCACGCCAATCAAATGAAATTTATATGCTTTACGCTACATTGAAATATAGAAATAATTGCAGAGAACGGAAATTTATTTTATCTCGTACACGATACCATATTTTTATTATCGCACGAAAAGTTTAATTTTTTTTCCTCTAGCTGATTGTCTGTGTAAATAAAATTTTAGGTAAATTTAGTTTTGTTAGATATTATACTATTTATGTCATTATTATAGCGCAAAAGTTAAAAACTGACGTAAAACCATGTTAATTAACGCGATATTTATAATTTTAATGTATCAAATTTGACTCATTCATCTATTTTAATACAATGCAAAGATTTCGATGTGACCGATGTGACATTTCGAAAAATCCGAAATACCGAATCAAATTTAAGCTTTTTTTGTCTGACGTCTAAAAACTTCTTATCTTTGTAGAATAACATGAAATTCGAACGATCAGTCTTTATATTCTAACGTGTACATCGATTTGTACGACGTGAGGCAGGGTAGCGTTCAAGGATAACTTTGAATAAATCCGGAAAAGACCATTACATGTATATCCCAGGCTCCATCTATCAGAACTTACCTGAATAAGAAATTGACCTCACCTACCCTCGACTTTCTCTGACGCATTCTATCTCTCTTTTTTTTATTCTCTTTCTCTCTCTCTCTCTCTTTCTCTCTTTCCATCTCTCTGTAACTTCCCTCTTTCCTCTTGTTCCTCTCATAAAATCAATAGCGTCAGTGTGCCGAGTTTATCCCGCGCTAAGAGTAAAAAATTAAAAGTGAAAAACCAAAATTTTAACACACGAAATCGCAAGCGAAGAAAAATGAAGTTTCACATTTACTAGTAGAAATCCCGATGGGAAGTTTTATTCAATAAGATCTCTCTCTCTCTCTCTCTCTCTCCCGGCCCGATCTAATTTGGCTCGATTAACAGAAAGTTTTCAATTGATCTCGAAGTTTGAAGACTGTGCTTTTTCAATCTATAGAAAGATCCTGCGACTAATGTCGCCTGCTCATCGTCGCGAGAACTTCATAAATTAAGCGTTAAGAACGATTGCGAAAATTTTGCTGAAGTACGTGGAATATCAAGAACATAATTTCAAATGTCTCGGGAATATGTACTTCACGCTTTTCGAGAGAGCGACATGAGTTAACGTTGTGACTTATGATTCTAAGAAATTTAAGTTTCGCAAACAGAAATGTGGCTGCATATATTTTACTTGAGTTTAAAGAAACATTTTTGAAGAAGTGAAATATTTTTCTTTAATATAAAGTCGATTATAAAACATACATTTGTAAACAAATTTAAGTTTAACATAATTTAAGCGGTAAATTAGGTATAATATTATATATTATGCAGTAATTTTACTTTATTTTGCATTTAAATATATGTTTTACTAATATACATTGTATAGATAGAACATGTAAACACAGTACGTACTTAATCTAAACTTGATTTATATAAATATTTGATATATATATAATTTGCTTACATTTTTTTTAATGTGTTCGTAAATAATGTGAATAAAGAAAAAGTTTGTGTGACGTGTCTTTTATTGTGTAATGTTTAAAAGATTGTTCTTCCTCTTCTTTTTTTGTGTAAACAGGTTTATGCGTATTATTTGTATATTGTTATTTACATGTTGTTTCTTTCGGTTAAGCTTCGGAATTAGCGACTTACATAAATACTTCACCGATTTTATATTTTTTCGAGTTTGATAACTTTCTGATTTCCTCAGAGAGTTAGCGCATCAAATCGTATATTACCCTTCCATAAAATTGCAGAAGAGAGAAAATTCTCATGGCGAACTTATATCATACAAAGCTACCACGTGCGGTAACTCGAGATGAAATACCATTTAAGCCTATTTTAATAAAAACAATGATACATTTGACAATGTAATTGCATAAAACAATTTTTTATAATTAATAACTAAAAATGAAATTTTCAATTTTTTTAATTTCAATTTTTTAATGTTAATCTTAAGCATGCAAATTTGACATTTTTTGCTCTAGATTATATTTTATGTGTATAATATTTTTTTGTTTTTCTTAAAGATATATATATATATTGTTATTTAATATAATTTTATACAAGTTTATTTATAAAAAAGAGCAAGTGATCTAAAAAAGTAGTGATATATATAAAAAGGTTGAGAAAAAGTTAATGAAAATCATACATAGAAGAACTAAAAATAAAAATTGAAAAAACCGATGATAGTTTTAAAATGCATTTTTGTACAAAATAAAAGTTTCACAAATGCAACGTAGGATTCATAGCTAAGGAAAGAGAAAATATACGATTTTTTATATTTTACGTATGTATGTCGACAGCAACGAGCATATAGTTGAATATGTGAAGGAATATTTCAGTTTTCGCGAGATCTGGAAATTTCTCTTTTGGTCGTTTAAAAATATGCGGTTGAACCTCTCTTTCGGAAGGTACTAGACTTTTTCTGTCTCGTTTCCATCATCGGGCGTGAGACACAAAGGTGGAATCCGATTATTCAAATAATTCTGTCTTAGCCAGAACACTGTCACGCGCGGCTGTGGCGAAAGTACCGACCTCTTTTTTTTCAACTTCTTAACAAGTTTTCCACTTCTTTGAGTCGGTGCGCGCTGTTTTTTTTAATGACGAAACCACAGCCGCAATCTTACGGACTTACTTTTTTTTACGTTTCCGTCTTACGCGAACTGTGTGGCTGTATTCAGCCGCTTAATTAATTCGACGTAAAAAAATTGTAGTATTCTGTAGTATCTTCTTTTTTATGGTTTTACGAGACATTACAAAGACGCGCTGCAATAAAAAAGACAAAAAATAATTAAAAGTAAGTTTGCATCGTTGTTTAAACTACTTGCTTGTCTTCGCATTGGTATCTGATTGGAAGAAAAAGAAATCGTCAGATTGCTTTTATGCGAGCAATGAAATTTAGAAAACAAACGTAAAAAAGTTTTCTTTTATGTTTTTTTGATATTATTTTTTTTGATAAACTTTTTGTTCGATAAAGTCTGATAAAATATCTAATTTGCCAAACGCACTTGTAATATAAATTTTATAACTTAAGATCTCGAATTATAAGGTCGACCTGGCGTGTACGTGCTCGTTTTCTTATCTGCCACCTACGGATCGCAGCCATCTTTAGTAACTTTTGTCAAGAATTTCTTCTCGTCTATATTATGTCTTCGCTTCAGAGATCGGAGATCAAATCTGCTGCCACGTCCAAAATCCCAGATGGGACTATAAGATGAGGAAATAAGATTTCTTTCCCCAATAATTCAAGAAAAAGTATCTATTGCTCTTTTTTCGCGAGTAATATGACTGTATATTTCAGAGGGACAGAAATAATAAATAAAAATATTTATATATATATATACACACATATTTATATTTATATATATATATTATATATATATATATATATATATATATATATATACACGCTATATAAACACACACACACGCACATGTAAAACCTAAAAAAGTGTATTTTATATCAAAAATGACACGGTTGCACATACACATGTGTACATTACATACACATTTAGCGTTAAATGTGAAATACGAGTCTATAATGTTACATTACTCTGCGGTGTAATCATTATAATTTAATAATTCACGATAAAATAGCACCAGGACATATATTTAACTTTTTTTTTTTTTCTACGCGACGCCACGCTATATCTTTATATGCTTCACAAGCGGCAACAATAATTCGTTTTTACTGCGGAGCATGAGAGCTTTACGCTCCGTATATTAACATAAGATTGTAATTTTCACAAAAAAGATCGCAATTTTTATGAAAGAATAATAATAAAAATATTATTAAAAACTTTTATGAACATTTGATGCATTTCTGTTTGCAAACTACAATTTTTCACAAACAGATTTTCAATTTAGAAACGGTCGGCAGAAACCACATGTAATGCTCATAACTTTCGCAGGGCACTGCAAATATGACATACAAATGGTAGCATCTGGCCGGACTGTGGACTACTCTACACAGCATGCATGACTAATTTCCTAAGTTTGGATATTTAACATTAAATACAAAAAAATGACAGCAATATCAGAAAAATGCAACAATGAATTTTCATCAACAAATGAAAAGATTGGCCTTATTTTTAAATTCGCCAAACTAATAATAAAAAATTTCCGATTTTAATTTCTAGAAGAAAAGAAAAGAGAGAGAGAGAGAGAGAAAAGAAAAAAGTGCGCTATATAAATTATAAAATTTCTATATACAGCAAAATACATCAAATAATACACATTTTCCATTTTTACAAAGCAAAATGGCAATCGATGACATCGTCAGACCCGACGATGCCTCGAGAATTAATTAGCAAAAAATAAATACCTACATCTGTATCGATTCAATATGTATTTTCGCGAGTTTATAAAGTTTCCTCAGCGCTGTATGAGCGACTATTTGCATTTCCTCGAGAGACGTATGTGTTCGAGCGAAATTTGCCGGACCGATAAACGAAATATCACTACGACGACGGTCGGATGTGTTCTCACACACCGATTGCCGGGAGTCTGTAACCCGCGTATGTGCAAAGCGCGCGGTAGCTCGGCCGCGTATAACGATGCAGAGGCGGCATCGACGCGGCTCCGTTCCCTTAAAGTATGTAGGTTAGGTGTGACGTCATGACCCGCCTTGTGACGTTCACATCCCCGAGTGAAATATGCAGCGATGCACTCGAGCATTTCTCGTACCCTCGCGGTCATTGGCATCTGTTACAATGAATCGCCGAGGCTAAAGCGAGATATCAGAGAAACGGCGGCGGCATCGCGGACAAGCGCGAACAAGCTACAAGTTTTAAAAGTATATTTGTATTCGCTCATTTTTTCCTATATATATATATGTGTGTGTGTGTGTGTCGTACATTTTCTAACTCT